CTTGAAGAATTGGCCAAGGTGCATGATATGGATGTAACTTCTTTTCGACCAATTTATGAAGTTCGTTGGTTGTCACGTCACTTTGCTGTCAGTGCTTTTGTTAGAAATCTTGATGTTTTAGCTGCCTACTGTGAAGAACTAGTCCAAGACTGCAATGATCCTGTTTGTTGTTATGTGTTGAAATCATTAAAAGATCACCTGTATCAAATTGCGCTTTATGCCGTTAATGATGTATTAACTGAATTAGCTAATCTATCAATGTTGTTGCAGCGAAATAAATTATCATCTATTGAAGCACATCAATTTTGCATTTCTAGAATACGCAAATTAGAAGCACAATTCCTGAGTGAAGATGTTTATTGGAATGATAATGCCAAGAAAATTTTGAATGAAAACGTAGGAATCGACACAAGAAAAATCACACATTTAAATGTAAGGTTTCCAGGAGACGAACTGCAGTTTTCGTCAGCTTTTGATCATACTGGTTTAAAAAAATTTTGCATTTGAGTTTGACGTCAAAGAGATCAAAGAACTGTGCGTAAAGTACAAAGACGTGTTACAAACAACAAATAAAGAGTCAATTATCACGCAATGCAATGACTTCAAATTTCAGATCAGTGAAAAACTCAAATCAGGTTCAGTAAATTCACTAACTGAAAGCGCATGAGTTGCTTTAAATGATGAACAGTTAGCTCATTGGCAAAGTTAATTGACATAATGCTTTACATTTCAAGCATCCAGCGCTGATTGCGAGCGAGGTTTTATTCTTATGAACAGCATTAAAGTACAAGCACGAAATAGACTTAAAGCCACACATTTGGAGAATCGAATGCGAATTAAATTATATCTAAATGCTGGAGAGGATGTGGATTTAAACAAAGCATATAAGGTATGCAAGCAAGGCAAGGTTAGACGCGAGAAATTGCAATAAATGCCCCCGAAAGGTTAGCTAATTTTGTTTTTAAGTCAGCTTTTTAAAATGGTTTACATGTTAAACTGTTGTATTTGTATTACCGTTATGGTATTAACAGTATTAACATTATAATTGCATTACATTAACATACTAAGTCGACCATATAACCTGTTGTCTAAGTATAACTCTAAAAGTTTCTGTTGTGAATTTTATTTTATTTAGATGGGATTCGTATTTTCTTTTAATTGCATACGTTTTATTAGTCCTACACATTATACTATTAATTTATCAAAATGCATGCCTTCATTACTCTGCTTAATTGCAAGCCTAAACATACATATTAACTTGCCCAAGTCATTTTTAGCACCGCGCACACAACATATTTTTTGCACACACAGTCTTGGCAGTGTTTCTTCCAGACTTTTTGCTCCGGGGGGGGCACTTGAAATCTTCGGGGGGGGCGGTAAACTTTCTTCGGGGGGGGGGGGGGGGCGGACACTGTTAAAAGTATATATTTTCTATATAAATTATATAAATTTCATTTCGTTCGGGGGGGGGCGGTAAAAAATTTTCGGGGGGGCTTCGCCCCTCCGAAGAGATGCCTGGAAGAAACTCTGAGTCTTGGTCCTTAGAGGGAACATTGGTGTGGGGGTAGGGAGGGTCATCTGGGGCGTGGGGGTAGGGGGGTCATGAGGGGGTGTGGGGGTAGGGGAGGGTCATCTGGGGTGTGGGGGTAGGGGGGTCATGAGGGGTGTAGGAGGTAGGGGAGGGTCATGAGGGGTGCAGGAGGTAGGGGGTGTCATCTGGGGTGCCAGATATAGAAAAAAGGGTCAGCTAGGCTAGGTCTGTTATCATGGGGAGAGAGAGAGAGGGGGGGGGGGGGGAGAGAAATATTGATCGGTGGTTAAAATAAATGGCTTGTGTTTCAAGAAATAACTTGCGGCTTTTGTTAAGACCATTGAAAAACTGAATGTGTCGATGATGTGACCTTAACATTGATTGTGGGGTGGGGTGGGGTACACCCTGGGTTATTCTACCGGGGAGACACAAAGGAGCTTGCGTATTTATACTCAGTGGCGTAAGCAGGGGTTGTTAATGGGATGGGAGAGATTTATATTAAATTGTTAAAATTATGCTAAAATCTGGGTAAAGTAAAATGTACTTTCAATTGCCTTGGAGAAAATACAGCTGCTCAAAGGGAAACTACTCAGGTAATTACGTTTCTAATAAAAATTAAATGGTTATTTCCCTTTACATATTCCAAAATAAATAATTGCTGCGATCTCGTAATAATTAAATTATCTCCCCTACCTCAACCTCACCACTACAACACGTCGTTTAAAACATTCGATTTGTAACTTTTCAATGAAGCAAAGAGTTTATATTTATATTCTTTAAATTGGTTGTAGACATATAGAAGGGCCAATAGTGTTAGCACGTGGACCGCTATAGTCTCGTCTTTACGGTGAGTCGGTGGAGACCTAAAAATCTGACGAGAGTAATGATGAACACTGGATTCGAACCTGCAACGTGTGAGCAGAGATTGTGTGCTCCATCGTTGACCTCCATCAAACCTCACAAAAGCAACCACTATTTTGGTTTAAGCTGATGAAAATTTTCAGAAGATGTAGAGCAGCAGACGTAGAGCAGTAGAGCAGCAGACGTAGAGCAGTAGAGCAGCAGACGTAGAGCAGTAGAGCAGCAGACGTAGAGCAGTAGAGCAGCAGACGTAGAGTAGTAGAGCAGCAGACGTAGAGCAGTAGAGCAGCAGACGTAGAGCAGTAGAGCAGTAGACGTAGAGCAGTAGAGCAGCAGACGTAGAGCAGTAGAGCAGCAGACGTAGAGCAGCAGACGTAGAGCAGTAGAGCAGCAGACGTAGAGCAGTAGAGCAGCAGACGTAGAGCAGTAGAGCAGCAGACGTAGAGCAGTAGAGCAGCAGACGTAGAGCAGTAGAGCAGCAAACGTAGAGCAGCAGACGTAGAGCAGTAGAGCAGCAGACGTAGAGCAGTAGAGCAGCAGACGTAGAGCAGCAGACGTAGAGCAGCAGATGTAGAGCAGTAGAGCAGCAGACGTAGAGCAGTAGACGTAGAGCAGCAGACGTAGAGCAGCAGACGTAGAGCAGCAGACGTAGAGCAGTAGAGCAGCAGACGTAGAGCAGCAGACGTAGAGCAGCAGACGTAGAGCAGTAGAGCAGCAGACGTAGAGCAGTAGACGTAGAGCAGCAGACGTAGAGCAGTAGAGCAGCAGACGTAGAGCAGTAGACGTAGAGCAGCAGACGTAGAGCAGTAGACGTAGAGCAGCAGACGTAGAGCAGCATACGTAGAGCAGTAGAGCAGCAGACGTAGAGCAGTAGAGCAGCAGACGTAGAGCAGTAGACGTAGAGCAGCAGACGTAGAGCAGTAGACGTAGAGCAGCAGACGTAGAGCAGCAGACGTAGAGCAGCAGACGTAGAGCAGTAGACGTAGAGCAGCAGACGTAGAGCAGCAGACGTAGAGCAGTAGAGCAGCAGACGTAGAGCAGTAGACGTAGAGCAGTAGACGTAGAGCAGCAGACGTAGAGCAGCAGACGTAGAGCAGCAGACGTAGAGCAGCAGACGTAGAGCAGTAGAGCAGCAGACGTAGAGCAGCAGACGTAGAGCAGCAGACGTAGAGCAGTAGAGCAGCAGACGTAGAGCAGTAGACGTAGAGCAGCAGACGTAGAGCAGCAGACGTAGAGCAGCAGACGTAGAGCAGTAGAGCAGCAGACGTAGAGCAGCAGACGTAGAGCAGCAGACGTAGAGCAGCAGACGTAGAGCAGCAGACGTAGAGCAGCAGACGTAGAGCAGCAGACGTAGAGCAGCAGACGTAGAGCAGTAGACGTAGAGCAGCAGACGTAGAGCAGCAGACGTAGAGCAGTAGACGTAGAGCAGCAGACGATATGCAGGGTGAGAAGGGAATTATCGATTTGTCTGAAACTCCAGACTCTGGCAGGGATCACCCGGTGTTGTGGTGACGTCACGTGCCTGGATGTCGATACCGCGGCAGACATATTGGCTGGGAGGTGTTTATTGATGTCAAGTTACCTGTTTGTGTTACATAATGTTACGGTAAGTCAAGATGCTGTTCGTGCTATAGTTCAATTTGTAATAATATTACAGTAAGTCTAGATGCTGCTTGTGTTATGATTTACATTACGTTACGCTTAGTCTATATGCTGAAATTAATTTGTTCGGGAAATGAATAGTTCAGATATAGAAATTATTCTGCTCAGGTCTAGTGACGTTCAGATTTCGGAATGTATCAGCTTAATGGGTGTTAAATTTAACTCAGATACCTAAATCAGGGGTCGGCAACCTTTTGAAGTGGAAGAGCCAAAAGTTACCATTTTTAAAATTTCCCTGGTTTTAAAGAGCCACTAACATTTTTTTTATTTCAAATATTTTATTTTTCTTATTAAGATTATTAGTATTTGTGCAAGGAGCTGGAGAGCCGCATTTTGATATCAAAAGAGCCGCATGCGGCTCGCGAGCCGCAGGTTGCCGACCCCTGACCTAAATTAATCTGACGTATAAATATTTTTAAAAAAAACAGTATTCGTTCAATAATGTCACGTATACATGTAGACCTACAAGATCTCGGCTGAACGCATTAGCTTGTCAATCAATATTTTTTAAAATAAAAGTTATTTCTAAGTGTGCTGTGTTTGTTATATCTTTAATTCTTTTATTTCTAAATAGTCCGCAATAAGTATACTAATTTATTTCCTGGATATGTGTGTATAAAAATAATTTAATAAAAGATCAGTACTCCTTTGTCTTAAATGTTGCTTGAATGTTGTCCGTTGTCTACACACTGTGTGAATGTTGTCGTTTTTAGAGTATTACCCCTTGTCTAAGAGCAGTATCAGTGTTGTCCCCTGTCTACATGTTGTGTCAATGTTTTTGTTGTCCCTTGTTTAAAATGTAGTATGAGTGTTACCGTTTTTCTAAGAATTGTGCGTACCATGCCCCTTGTCTAACTGTTTCATCCGCTAATTTTATTTATATTTTTGGGGTAAAAGCAAAAATTTTAGGTTTTTGTTTTTTTTAGAGATGCTGACATAGTAGATTCTGACAAATCCTTCTGTGTACAACATTGGAATAAAGCAAAACAACGTTACTAAATATCTTGGAGGATTCGAACCCACGTAGTTCATGCCTTGATATAGTTGGATGGGATGTCATGTTATAATCACGGCTTTTGGCGTCTTTTTAGTGTGGCAGGCAGGAGGAGGATCTTGCACGTAAGGGAGGTAAATACAAGTTGTTGTTTTTTTCTATTCTTTATCCAAACACACAAGGGGACGATAATTCCACCCAACTCTGATGGGTACCTAACTTATGAGAAGACGGCTGTGCATAGTGCTGAACACACTATTCCTTCATATGCCGAGGTCACAGAAACAGGTGAACTCTACTTCACCTGCCCCATGGACAGTAAAGTTCGAAAGGCGATCTTTACTTTACTTACTTATGTGTATGTTATGGGTGAACTATCAGTTATTGCAATACTACACTCTAACATAAATGAGTAGTTAACTTTTTTTATCGAGCAAAAAATAATAAATATCTCTTTCAAAAAAGTATTACAGAAGCGTATTTTCTCCAGCTGTGGTTGCGTGTGTTTTGACCCTACATTAGCCTGGCTTCAGAGGCGTAGCGACCCTTCCCGGCGCCCGGGGACAAACTTTCGATTAGCCTGCACCCCCCCCCCCCCCCCTCAAACTTTCGATTTGCACCCCCCCCCCCCTCAAACTTTCGATTTGTTTTTCCAACCCACTTTGGCGCCCCCTAAGGTCGGCGCCCGGGGACATATGTCGTCCCCCCCCCTTCGCTACGCCTCTGCCTGGCTTAGACATTATAAAAGCCACAGTGTCGTATCGGGTTGACCAACGCTAGTAGTTGATGGATATGTATGTAAAGGAGGAAGTCAAGTATGTGAGAAACAAGAAATGGTGAGGCGGGGTGGGAGGGCAAAAATAAATGATGCAATTTGTTTACACCTGTCTAAAGGGCAGGCAACAGGTTGTCAATCAATCGTTGGATGTGATCGATGATCTGACACCTGTCTGACAGACTGGCATAGGATGCGACATCTCCACTCACCTGTTGTATAGTAGTACATTGGGGGGGGGGGGGGGGGGTGGGGTGATGGGGGGTGGAGTCATCGATCGTTGGTGATGTCACATAAGTCGGTGGGTCGATGTTTTCATCATGAATTGTTAACACGTGTATGTTTAGACAAGGACTAGGTCGGCATCTGTACGGTGACTTATAACAGCTTGAACTGTGTTTCTTTCGTACTTTTTTTTCCGGTGGGGGGTACTTGAAACTCTCGGGGTATGGTGTACTTAAATTGTCGGGAGGGAGAGGGGGGAAACTCGTCAAAGTGTATATTTTTACTTCGTTTGTGGCTATGGGGGGGGGGGGAGGTAGACTTGTTGCGGGAGGGACGGTAAGCTAAACTCGTTAGATCTTGCCTCGCGGTTGTTAATCATAGAGTTACGTCCCTTTAGAAAATATTCATGAGAACGCTAAAACAGCTCAAGCCGGCTAGAAACAGTTGAAACACTATATGGTAGACTGGTAGACAATATAAAAAACTACAAACATGATAACGTTGAAAACACAGCAACTGACACATGACATACACATAGAAAATAAAACATACAAATGCACATACAATAGACACACGTCGTATACACATGAAACACAGTAGACAAATACAGATTAAAGAGAAAGAAAAACAAGTTAAACTAATTATATAATTTAAAAAATATAAAAAAGTTGTATATTATGTACGACTAACTCAAAAGTCTCGAGTTCGAATCTCGTGCTTGAGTATACTTGAGTCCACCCAGCTCTGATGGGTGCCTGGCTTACGTTAGGGTAAGTAAACGCGGCTGGGCATAATGTTGACCACACCATCCCTTCATATGTCGTGGTCACTGAAACAGATAAGCCCTACTTCACCTGCCCCTATGGTCCACAAGGTTCAAAATTGTACCTTAATTGTATGTATTATTTAACATAATAATATAGCAAATTATGTGACAAAGTATGTAACAAGACAAAGATAAACAGTCCCCACACACGAACCAAGCTGTTAGACCAATGTAGAGGATTAAACTAATCAGATGGCAGGGGAGGTCGGCGTGGTCGGGTCGGTAAAGTTCATGACTGCTGAATCGGGCAGATCAGGTTCGATAGCTGGGGATAGCCATTCTTCTAGGAGAGACAACTTCAACCTCAAAACAACTGCTGCATTGTTGTTTGTTCTTGAATAGACAAATGCCATGGGAGCAAATTCAGAAAGAAAAGCAGGCTGAATAATACTTAATGGTCCTTTAGGAAAATCTCGCCCAACGTTACAATTAAGAACCAAGAAGAAGAAGGTGTCAGGGTGTCATGTTTGTGAGGGATGGGCTGTGTAGATCTTTTCTTTTCACTCCCTTGTGGTACCGTATTGGATAAATTATTATTAGTAGCTGAAAATTCGCATAATCTATTCCAGTTATTTGAATGTCATTATATATATATATAAATGTGTGGGCTGAATAATTGTCCTTCAAATAGTTATTTATAAGAAGCCCCATGACGTAAGTGTTTGTTAAGCATTTTTATCAATGATAGATCTCAAAAAACCTGTCTTAACTGCCGTCATAGGTTGGGAATAAAAGAAAGGCATTCGTGACTCGACGAGCTATTCGGGCGTTTACGGCCTACGGATTTTACCTAATATGGTGTTGACGTTTCCGGTATGATTGACGGAATCATCCGATGGTGTTGAAATGTTCTATAGAGCGATTCCCGTGAATGTGACGACGTTTGAACCTGAATGACTTGATGACGTATTCAACGAGTTTCGTAACGTAGCCAGTTCATAGAAGTTGCTTTGTTCCCTGTGAAAATAAAAATAAAATCATACTACGCATCGGATGTTATATAAATAATGCTGTTATTTTTCTACAAGGGGTTGGGGCAGATGAAAATTTCGGGAGGGGGGGGGGGGCGCGTACTAAATTTTCCGGGGGAGTGGGGGGGGGGGGGGTGGACACAGGTAAATGTATATAAAAAATATATTTTCTATATAAATTATATTTCGTTCAAGCCGTCTTTCATGACCTTTCATAATAACGTCACACTTCGTCACAAAAAACCTCTTACCTCCACCCAACCACACACACACACACACACACACACACACACACACACACACTATTTGTGACATCACACTGCTTAATTTAAAACTGACTACAGTTTGAAACCTCCAACTCTCATACTGTCGTTTCAAATATTTTCTTTCTCCCAAGTCAACCAATCGGCTACGGAATAATTCAAATCTACCCACATAACATTTGTAAGACGTTTGTTTTGAAAGTAAACCCTGTTCGGATTGGACGAGAAAACTAGGGCCCTTAACTCTATTTATACTAGTGGACTCCGGCTCGGCCCGCTGTACCTTGTTGTCGTCTGCGTCGTATCTAGGTCACACGGCGAAACACATGTGCTGTAGTATTTTTGGTTGTCCGTGTTCACGACTGACTTGTAATACTTGTAATAAGTCTGACTTTATGCAACAGGTGTGGCCGGATCAAATTGTAACATTTCGTACAGGTGTATAGACAACAATGAAAGCTGGATAATCTTGTGACTTTATTTTCGTGTGTTCGGCTTCTCGTCAATACTTATTATTAATTATTAATAATTACCATCCATCAATGAGAATTGTGTAAACAAAACTGTTATAGTCTTGACTCCACTAGAGGACTTTCATTCAACACGAAAGGTGTGTTAGAAATCAGCTGACCACATTTTACCTTAGGCCAAATAAAAGTGAATTGAATTAAGCCTTATTAAGCTAACAATTTTTGCCTAATTTAATTAACAACACCTAGACTGAAGTGTATCAACCAGTTGTGTTCAACAAATTCATTTCACCATATAGATCTAGATCTACCTTGGAATGATTTGAATTTCTCCATCAACACTTTCTTTTTGAAGAGGAACTTATAGGTGAGTAAAATGTGTCTTTATATGTTAAAGAGTAGAAGTTGTCACTTAAATTTGTTAGTTAACAGTTATTGCTTTATGTGTCAATATACACTGAATATCAATATACTAATAATAAAAGTCTAATAACCAGTGGCATAAGCAGAGTTTTACTATCGGGGAGGGGTTAATAATAATAAATAAAAAATAGACCTCGTATAAGTATATGTTTCTATAGAGAGTTTGAGACCTACCGATTGTGGGGATTTGACATTGATCATTAAGAAATACAAAACAAGATCAAGACGTCGCCAAAAGCTGTAACTTAACGTGAAACTCACTGAAACAGCTGCCATTTAGAGGGTTCAGTTGAGGACTACTTCCACTGGGTCTTAAGGGTCTAGATCTAGGACATTTCCCCCACTTTATCCCCGGGACTAATTCTACTTTCAATAATCCCTCTGGGTAATGACCCCACTTCTGCCCCACTCTCAAGAACTCAAACCCCAACTATAAACTTATATCTAACCCTATACATATTCCAACATCTAACCCTAAGCCAAAGTTTAAGCATTTACCTGTCTCAAATTAACCCTAAGCCAACGCATTAGCCTAAAACAATCCTCGACCACAAACCCTAACACTAACCACATCCCTAACCCTAACGTATCCTTAAGCTATACATATCGCATCTATCTCTAAATGACACAGGGTAATGTCCTACTGGGCCGTGGTTAATGTCGGGGGGTGTCCGGGTGGATAATTGCCGGGGAGGGGGTAATGTTCTGCTCTCGCCTCTACCACCCCCTGCCTACGCCACTGAACCTAACGGTTAATCGTGTAACATATACTTTTACACCTAATACAACATGGCACCGATTCACAAACGCAATAGTACCATAATATAATCTAAACTCTCGATAAACCTATCCTAAACCTCAACCAAGTAAGATAAAACAAATGGTCAAGTCTCTGCTGTTGACTAGAACCCACCTTTGTAACAATCACCTCCGTTCTGTACAGTGCGAGAATGGTTAAGGTGTAATTGTTATTTACGCTAGCCATGCGTTATATGCAGAAAAAGGTTTGTAAACAATTGTAAACAAACGAAGTGTAAAAATCAGTAGCAACAGCAGTCAGGTCTTAATCATAATGTGAATATTATATCTGAAACAATTTTATGATGTTATTGTAACAAATCCTGTTACGTTAATATTTTACCTTTTAACATACTGGGTAATTGCAGGAAAGCTTATAAGAT